TGTACACTGGAAAATACTTGACTATTTAATGGTGGTCCTGGAGGGGGTGCTTTATTTGTTTGGGTAATAAACCATGGCGTATAATTAGTTTCCTTAATAAGAACAATAATAATGGTAAAAGCATGACATTTTTCGATATAACTATGTAAGAGATGTACTTCATAATTGTTTCCCTTGTTGGTAAATGTCGTAAGGCCAAAATTGATGTTGAAGTTGATGAATTTGTCATCATTGTTACATGTGGAAGTAATATCGGATCATTATTTTCTAAAGACATAGAACAATTTGAACATAAATGATGATCATTTTTGTTGTTATTTGAATGAAAGTCCGGAATAAAATGATGAGTCAAACTACTATCAGATTTTGATAGTCGATGTCGACTATTCTTATTTAACATATGTAAATATGTTCGTTTTGTATCAGACACGTTTAATTGTAGTGAATCAAAAGTATTTTCGCCGTCTTTATAAAGTTTTGAAAATGACTTTGAGGATCGTTCAAGTGACTGATAACCAGATGATGGTATTTGATCATCTATTTCATCATTCAATTGACCAGAATGTTGATGACTTTTAATATTATTATTACGACACACATTTAACTTCAACGAAGAATTGATGTATCCCGATGGTAGACTTGTATTATTTAAATCAGAAAATGTATCTAATGCATCATTGTCTGTATCGTCTACAGAAAATTGAAATTTGTGAATATCGTCCATATCGTTTGTACTCTTTTTTCGTACTATTTCATCTCGATAACATGTGTCTGAAAATGCTGGAATAAAAGGAAGTTTTTCTTGCTGCTGTTGTTGAGTCAAGACGGTATCCGTTAATATCTGTGATAGAAATTTGGTATCATTGCGGTTGAAATTAAATCTTTTGGACATCGAAGAATTCCTAGAAGAAGGATTTTGGATCAAGAACAGCACAGAATTTCTCATTGAACTTCAAAACAATGGTATTGGAACTCTTTGTGACGAAAACTTTATTGATGATTAGACAGGCATATGGCCTTACGAGAAAACTTTTCGTTATAAAATAAGTGACACTTTTTTATTGATATTATGACTCAGTTTTGAATCAAGTTTATCGAGGCGTAGAGCTGTGAAAAAATTAATCGTACTGAAGGTAAAAAGAAGCAATTTTGTTTCATTACACGGTTCCGCATATGACAACCATTGACGTTTCATTTTCAAAGTGGAGTGGAAAAAATTTTAATAAAAAAAAGTCAAAATTATTAAAAATTCAACTTTTCAAAACAAGAATTGTTTCTGCTTTAACTCTTAGAAAGAACGTTCTGCTCTCTCTTTAGACAGAAGCGTGTCGGTATAACCGTTTCAGACACAAGATATGTCTCAAAGGTTACAAGTTGAAATTGAAAACAGTCTTTTTCTCACGTGAAATTTCCTTTTAACCGTAAGCTTCAGTCATTCTCATGATACGACGCAATATTTTTTCATAAAACATTAAAAAGTTAATTCTGCTAACCTTCCTGAATCGTTCTTTTTGTTTTGAAATTCTTCAGGTGTATTGTCCTCTTTTCGTGAAGCTGCTGATTGTTCTTCTTCCTCTTCACTCCACGTATCATATTCTTTACTTTTGTTCCATAATGAATGTTTTTTATAGGCATTTTTTGTGTTCTCATTACACAAAATTGGCGAGGCTGCCGATCCATTTGAATAATACGACGAAATCGAATCTCTTTTTGCATCATGCCTATAATCCTCTACATACTGTTGTACAGAGTCAGGATACTCATTTGGTTCGTGTACTGTTTCGTTTCGAAGTTTCCCACTGTCATCAAATATTTGTGTGTAAATCATGTCAATAAAGAGACGAGGATCATCCACATCCGGAAGATCAAATGATAATGAGTGTTGTTGAGACTGATTTTCGGAACTAGTTGTTACACAAGTTCGACTTCGTCGACGTCTTATTTTAGCTTGTGCTTGATCGTATGCATGACTCGCCATCTGATTACTATTGTGGTTTGATGATCGATCATCATCCGTTGGAATTGTTGATGGAGAAATTAAACTACTTGATTGTTTCTCATCACTGAAAGTCATTGATGGTAAGGTGGTAGAGCGTTTAAATTTATCATGATTATTGAGTTCAGTATGAAAGAATCTTGTTGCTAATGATTCTGATAAGTTTTTGTCTTTCGTATTTGTTGATGCATTAAAAAATACTGTCGGTTTATAATTGACGATAACTATAGATTTTCGATTACTAAATTTTCTCCGTTTAGTCAAGTTTATTTGATGTTCAATAAGCTCGGTTAACTGATGTATCTCATTATCGGAATTTGTACTGACAGAATCATGTGAAATATATAACGGATCGGTTGTAGAGTTAATTTCTCGCCTGTGACATCTTTTTTTTGCTTGACGACGGAGACAAACACGAAATCGTTTCTGTTTTGTCTTATGAGATATTGAAGCAATGTTTTCCTCTCGACGAATTGACGTTTCATCGGAATCTTGTAATTGAAATTCCATTAGTCATACATATCAAATTCTAGCGCTATTGATACTTCTACATAATAATCTTCCCAGAGTGATAATAGTATTTACCGATTTTTTCCCAAGAATCTAAAGTAAAAACATAGATTATGGTGACAAATCACACACGAAAATATAGTACGGTGTCTTTTCTGTATGGTAAATACTATTAATGAAATTAATCGTTCAGGTATACAATGCCATCAATGCGATTCAAAGGATAAATATTTGGAATGGACTAGGAAACGTATCTCAAAAGAAAAACATGCATCATGTTCTTCCTGATGCCACATTAGACAACTGTGTGAAATATCACACACACGCTTCTTGTGTTTTACAGATCAATTTTACCCTGAAGTTTCACCATTCTAAACTTGTTTCTCAACGCCTTCTTATGAAACTGATTTTATCTAATATAAAGAACGCAGGTGAAAATAATATTATCTAGCACTAACTCTTTATGCAATCTTGTTGACAACGATTTGTATTAAATATGCAGTAGATACTAAAAAAGATATAACGGGCATTAGATCTATTTATTTTATCAAATCATTTATTATCGTTAAATATCTTGATAGAAATTGCTAATATTCGTGTTCTAGATTTTTGAACCATTTTGACCGTTTTACAAAATAAATGTGTAGTAAAGAAAAATGATAAAATCATATACTAAAGCTGTTCACAAGCTTGATTTTAATCCGTAAAGTATTTTATTCTTAAAAAAAGTGTACGGGACGGAACATAGCATAGACATTTTGACATCTGTGATTTGAATATTAGTCAACTACCTGCTTTTATGTCAAACCAGTGTAATACCTTTATCTTCTTGCTTTTTCTTCGTCATTCTTAGAACGATAAAATGGTAGATTGAGTCTGCTTTTTTCTTTTGACTCTCATCATTTTTCGTTCTTGATTCTTTCTTTCTCTTTTTCTGTTCTTTGTTTGTTTTTGTAGACGAAAAAAAAATATTTTTCTTTCTACTATTGTCTTTTTGTTGAAAATCTTTATCATTCAATTTTAAATAGCGAAAAAATATTTTCTATCATCATATGGTGGTTTATAAAGAAGATGCAGTTTTTGTTGCGGTTGAAGATACTTTTTTCTTTTATTGTAAAAAATTTTCTGTTTTGTGGTATAGTCACTGATTTCGTGATTATTAAAACTATAGACTACTCAGTATTTTCTAAAAGGAGAAAAGTGCTCCGTTTCTGATACACATCAGTGAAAGAAACTATTTTCTTTTTTCTTGTTCTTTTTCTGTTTGTAACGGTAAATGATGGTACGGTTCTTTGAGGCCTTTTTTTTTGCTTTATAAATGTTTTTTTATTTTATTATGATCATATTTTGTTGATGTGTTCACCAATATGAGATGAGTGAACGAATTTATATCTTTCAATGATATTAAATTTTGAATTTTATTATTTCTTTCATTTGCAATCTAATCGTTTCATCTATTTTGAATCAATTAAAAGTTCTGAATACAAATAGAGCATATATGTACATATATAAAATACTAGAACTGTTTTTTTCTCTAGAGTTTCAGTAGTTTTTCAGAATACCTGTCAGAGCCGATTTCCTTTTGCTATTTACAATACATAAATAGAAAATAAATTGAAAAGATCTTTAATAAGTTAACATTATTATTCAAAATATTCGTAAAAAATATTTTGTCCTAAAAGAAGGCCTCATTCGATGCAATTTTTCACAGAAATATACGCGTCTGTGATTTACTTGGTTTGAAGTTCTATGTAAATAACAAAAATGGCTGAAAATCTTAATAAAAAATCCACGTAGTTTTTCGGTTAAAACTAAAAAATCTTGGACGCTACGAATAATACTCCAATAGATGATTTGAAAGAGGACAATCGATGTAGTTTTTCTCAAAATCTTTGTGTCCACATTTTTTATAGATTTTCTGGAAAACTCTAGTTTTCATTTAGTCACATTATGATCCCTCGAAAAAAATGGTTCACTTGAATTAAAATTTTTATCATAGATAGTAAGTTTAGACTGTAAATTATTTTTTCCAAAAAATATTTTTACTACTCGAGATATCCGAATAATACTAAAAATTTCGTTTAAAAACTTGCAGCTTCATTTTAAAAACCTTCCCACGGCGAAAATCGACAAAACGTTTAAAAATAAATTTACAATTTGAGATAGGGCCTGAAGTATCTGTGATAAAAATTTCAGTTCAATCGGACCATTTTTTTCGAGGGATGATAATGTGAGCGGATTGAAAGGATCACTGGAAAACACATGTTGAGAAAAATGCAAAACAACGTTGAAATAGAGCTTCTCCGTGAAGATGTATAACTGTCTATTTAGTATACCTATAGGTTATCAGCGATTCTCTATCCGATGGAGTATGCGCCGCATATGCTCAGTCATATGCTGGTATATGTAAAGGTGTATGCGCCTACTCTACTTTAAAAAAATGAAAAATATCTCATGCAGTGGGCGTTCTTTTATTTTTCCTTCAATTTATTACAGTTGGAAAAACTATAGACGCCATGTATGTGCATAATAAAAATATAGAATAAGCTATGAGCATGAATAGATGATGCTATTCTTTTCTATTCTTTTCTCTTAACAATACCATAAAAATTATCGTGCACGCTTCAATCTATATTTATCTTAAAAGTATGAGTACTTCGTCTTCAACAAAATCAAAGGTTGAATTATCTAGTTACATATGCAGCACATGACTCTACACAGGCTCAACGGATAACGCATAGGCGATAACATAAAAAGAAAGTAACTTTTATAAGTACTCCGTATATATTTCACTAAGAAAAAGCAGAAAATTGAACTAAATACAAAGACGATTT